AAAAATATAATAAAAATATAATAAAAATATAATAAAAATATAATAAAAATATAATAAAAATATAATAAAAATATAAAGTTACTATGCAAATACATATTGAACTTAGTTATCGTATTAAGTATATTCAAAAACTTAATTGGAAATCAAGTTGAATTCTGAAAAGGATGGATAAATCCAACTTCACATTTTTATATCATATGATTACTATCCATTTTGGTTTATTTATCATGCGGGCTATACGTAGACGAAGATTATGGCATCACCTAGTTATGTCCTATATAAAAAATCGGTTTATAAATAAAACATAACTAGTGACATAAATAAGTCTGTACCAAAAAATAGAATTCAAATGTCGATAAAGTTATCATCGTTATCGTATTTTTGATAGTTATTCTATTTTGTGTAGTAGTATTTTAAATTTTTTTTGCTATAAATGAAGTAGAAAAATAAATATTGGAAAGTAAACGTCGCAAACCAATGAAATCAGACTAAATGAACATTTGAGGTTTCTATTTAACTTTCTAAAACTCATGCTTATTATAAATTATGCGACCCTAAAAAAAAAAAAAAAAGCCAAGAAAAGCATCCAAAAAAATTGTATTTTTCGATGGCCTGTCTATTCGTATTATTTTAATCTGTCACAGTAAATGGCTCTTGTCAGCAGCTCAGACTTTTTTTAGCAATGCAGTATTATAATATGTATTTAGATTATACATAATCAAATAAAGTATCCATATTATTATATTAGGATCAATATATTATAGTAATGAAAAGAGCCTGAACCGCTAAAAGAGGTCAATATATCTATTAAAAATTGGCCTGTCAACCTACCAGAACAAGGCAAATGTATAGTATTATAATTTTTCTTTGCTATTATTATAAAATGATGTTTGTTAATTTGAAAAATGATAAATGATGTGTTAAGATTATTTCAATTTCAGAATATAATGGTCATAAATCCTGGAAACATATTATACTTTCATTTGCCACGTTATAGCTGGCATATTATAGCTTTTATCATAAATTCTGGGACACCTGATAAAAAATTAACCAAGTGATTATTTGATCGATTTGATAAATTATAATTTCGACGTGATCGGTTCTACAAAAGTTTTATCGTTATAATATCGATACACGGTCAAGATTATTATTGTTTGAATTTCTGTCCAATATATTTGACATGTTTAGTTTGTATGAAAATATGGAAAAAATTGTCAGTCAATATTATAAAAACTACACCGGATGTAAATCAGACTTTTATAATAAATATATTACACAAATAGGTATTATCAAGAAATTGTCAATTTGTACTCAAGTAAGATTTAATAAATTCAAAAACATGTAGTTTTTTTTAATAAATCCATATCTATAGAGCCTGACTTATAGATCTACTAACACCTAAGTGTTTAAAACTAGGTCCTCAAAGTTTATATTAAAAATGCTTGTTTTAAAATATTATGTTTCTATATTCATCTGGTCTTAAATTATGTCAATATATATCGATTTGTTGAATCAAAAACTTCATCAGGCGTTCTAGAATCTATAATATTTGTAATATCTAGATAAGAACAATTGTCTTGATTATATGTTGTAAATTAATGTCGCGACTGATGCTGGAATTTGGGGTCTCGATTTGAAAATATAAGCCCTGCTGAAATCTAAATATACACTTTATTTATCAATTCTAGTCCAAAATTCTAATCCAACCTAACCTTAAAAAATAAAATAAAATAAAATAAACTGAAAAAAACACTTCCAAAAAATTTAAAAATCTTATATCAGCATCAGCCGCAACAATTAAATCCCATTTGTCCAAAAATAAACCATGGATCATAACGATGAATATTTTTCCATGACATATATTCGGTTCGTTTTAATGAGAACTTTACTGACATCATGAACCCACCCAGTGTTGAAATCATAACCTATAATTGTTATCCTCAACGTCACTTTTCTGTTTTGTATGTGGGTTGCAAACAAGAATGCTAGTGAAACCCGATCGTATATTTAACTGTGCGTGTTTGTAAATTTCAATATTTAATAAGAACTTGATTTTAACAGGAGATGCGACAAGATAATTTGATTCATATAAAAATCGCATTAAAAAGGTAATATAAAGGATAATTGTAAAAAAAAACATTAATTTAAAGTCGTAGTAATGTTTTTAAAGACACATTTTAAAGAAATCTTTAATCTCTTATAATACTAATCAAGCGAGGATTAATTAGTTTTATACAAATTACTTATAAATTGCTTACAATTTTTAAAATTTTTATCCGTTTATACAGTTACTTTATAAATTGTAAGTTCAATCAATTTCATAAATCTTATTTAGACGAACAGTTGCCGGTATTGACATTGATCGAAGAATATTTTTGAGGTTATCCTTTTCTTCGTTACTTAGATTTTGATTACCAAGATATAAAGTTTTTAAAGTATTATTTTTTGCTAGCGCCTCAATTAATACCTTTTCTCCTTCAAAATCAAAATCGTTATCTCTAAGGTATAAACAAGCTAATGTAGTGTTCGTATAAAAAACTTTTTCAAATGCTTTTACCACCCTAGAATCAATCTGATTTTTACAAAGATTCAAAGTAGTTAAGGTGGTGTTTATACAAAGTGCCTCCGCTAATACTTTAGCACCCTCGGATTCAAGATAATTGTAATCGAGATTTAATTGAGTCAGAGTTGTGTTTACGTAAAGAACTTCGGCTAATGCTTTTCCATCTTCAGAATCAAGTTTATTAGAAGAAAGGTCCAAATATGTTAAAGTCATATTTTTATGAAGTGACTTTGATAATGCTTTTATCCCTTCAGACTGAATCAGATTGTCTTTAAGAATTAAAGTATCTAAGGTGTTGTTTTCACAAAGTGCTTTTGCTAACGCTATAGCACCCTCAGAACCAAGTTGGTTTTCTTCAAGGTCTAGTTTAATTAAAGTAGTGTTTACGCAAAGTGCCTCCGCAAGTGCTTCTCCACCTTCAAAGTCAATCAAGTTAACAGCGATTTTTAAAGTTGTCAGAATATTGTTTTTATGGAGAGCTTTTGCCAGTGCCTTTGCCCCTCTAGATTCGATATGATTTTCATACAAACATAATTCTTCTAAAGATGTATTTACATAAAGTGCCTCTGCTAATAATTCAGCAATCTCAAAACCGAAATGATTACCGTTAGCGTTTAAGCAAGTCAAAGTATTGTTTATAAAGAGAGCTTCGGCTAAAGATTTTATTCCGTTGATGTCAAGTGATAAAGGGAGAACCAAAGATGTCAGAGTGGTATTTGTGTGAAGAGCTTTCATCAATGCAATAAACCCTACAGGATCAATAATATTATAACCAAGATCCAAAGTAGTTAAACCGACGTTTTTATGAAGAATCTTTGCTAACATTTCAGAACACTTAGCATCAAAATCATTATAGAACAAATTTAAAGACTTAAGAGTAGAGTTCATACTGAGAGCCTTAAATAATACTTCGCTTCTAATAAAATCAAGTTGATTATGGGAAACATCCAGAGAAGTTATAGTAGTATTCTGATGTAAAACTTCTGCTATTAATTTCCATTCATCAGAACTAATATCATTATGAGCAAGATTTAAAGAAGTTATAGGATTTTTGCGAATAATCTCCACTAATATTTCTGTTGCCTCTGAATTAAATCCTATTACCCAAAAATCTAGTGAAGTAATAGTAGAATTTTCGTAAAGAACATTAAATATCGTTTTATCGTAGAAAGTACCGTAAAATTTTAATGAGTTAATTTTTCTACTCGTTCTTAAAAACATTTCGATTAAAGAACATACTACAGCCATTACTGGAAGATATTCTTCATCGTCATCAGAAATTGAGTGACGAGATCCATTCGTAAATCCTTCATCTATGAGCCAATTTTTAATTTCAAAAGTCAAATTAAAACCATCAACAGATCTAGCGTAAGTTGGATACTCAAATAATGGTTTGGGAATTTTTGGAAAAATATCTTGAAGGGAATTAATCGAGATTGTTCCTTAGCATTTAATGCTGAAAGACATATTTTTAACTTTCTATTATCGAAATGATCAAGTGGGTTGCTCCACAATATCGGTATAATAATTTTACACCAGAGACGGTTTACGAAAATACATGAATATAAACTTCTATGATCTTTAAGGTTGTTGAAGATTTCAGGAAGGCATTCGTTTGGTAACGTGTTCATTTTGATTTTGAAAGTAATAAAATTTTTCTTTTATTTAAAAGGTTAAGGGCAAAAAGATGATAGTACGTGCATACGAAATTTGGTGTCAGAAAAGAAAATGTAAACAATGTAAACAATGTAAACAATGAAAACAAGGTGTAACAACTCACGTAATAAGGTTTTGTCGATCATTTGGCCTAGATTGATCAATATCGGCTTGCATCAAGCTGAAGTTGGATTTCAAAATCAGTTGTTACGCAAAAAAATCAAAAAATCGGTCATATCTCAACATTTTACCTATGAAACTATAGTTGTTGGTAGAATTGGTTTTGATAGATTGAAATTTTATATTATCAAAAGCCATTCTACGTAGTAACATTTTCTATGCTACCTTTAATAGTAAATTATAGAGATGGGTAAATCGCGGTTTTTCAAATCTAGGTGCCGCACGGTTGAACCTCAATTTTGATTGGTCAACGGCTGTGATCAACAAAATTTTGGTCCGCATTATACATAATTTTGGCCGGAGTTTAATTTTTTAATTGTAATAGTAAAATTAACCCAGGAACATATTTCACTTAGGGTTGAAAATTACATTTTACAAATTTACAATACATGTAATTTCGCGGGATATATAGTACCTAGAGATGGGCAAATCGCGGTTTCTCCAAAAATCCCGCGCGGGATTCATTAAATCACAAATTTTTAAACCTTAATTTCACTTAATGGGCGGCCACGATTTCTTTACTAAAACTTCGAATAATTTTGCCTAAATTTTTGGTTGCCATTGGCCAATCAAAATAGTGAATTTCCACATATTTTTTGCAAGGTTTAATAGCAGTAATTACATTAT